TGTTTGTCTCTGAGATTTACAAAGCAAGTTCCTCAGCGATCACTGAACATACTCAGTGTCTGATCGCTGGAACTGAAAATACATAAACAAAATTACATCGATAGATTAAAAGGGATTATCATCAAATCACTGAGAGAGAGGATCAACAATATGATATTTCTCCAGCTATTCCTGAAACAACTACGACTGCCGCGATTCCTGAACGGTAGATTCCAAAGCTCTCTCATCAATGGAGCGATGAAGATAAGAAGAAGATAGCTATAGACATTCGTGCAAGGTCTATAATAGCTATGTCTATTACCGATGAGGTTTATCACTCTGTGATGAAACTTAGAACCTCTAAAGTCATGTGGGATACTTTATTTGTTCAATATGAAGGAACCTCTCAGGTTCAAGAATCTAGGAAGATCAATCTAGTAAGACAATATGAAAACTATCTCTGTGGAATGACTAAAACTTTGTCTGAAGTACATCAACACTTTAAGTGTCTTCTTATAGATTTAAGATCTGTAGGCAGGAAATATTATAACTCTGAAACTTTAATGAAGTTTCTAGAATGTTTGCCTGAGTCTTGGGACACTTATTCCATGTGTCTCAAGATGTCAAATGACATGTCCTCTCTTTCTCTCAACACTCTTTATTGGATACTGTTCACTCATGAACAATCTCGTCAGCTGAAAAGAAATCTGATTAAAGATTCTAGGGAAATGAAGAGCTATCCTTTAGCTCTAATCTTTGAATAAGCTTCAGCTAAAATCCCATCTTCTTCTTCTTTTTATCTTCCTTCTGTTATTATTATTGAGTTAGATTCTACTAACTCTGAGGATTTATCAGAATCTGATCTTGCAGATTTTGATGCATCACTGGAGTTATTAACTAAATCTTTTAGGACATTCGCCAATAAAAGTAGCTTCCGCATATCTCCTTCGCTGACCATAAAGCAAAAGCCAAAGTCTTATAAGATAGACAAGGCTTCAGCGATTCGCTACAGTTGTCACCGCAAAGGTCACTTTGTTGGTGAATGTAGGTCCAAGTTGTGACTCCATCTTCTAAGACCTCATCCTCCTTCAGAACTAAGGATGATAAATACTTGAAACTGAAGGAGAAGTATAAGAAGATGAAGAACTTCCAGCGAAAGGCTAAGGGTCTCGTCGCTGAAGAGCACGACTGGGCTGATGAATCATCATGTTGATCCTCTCTCTCATGGATTTGATGATAATCCCTTTTACCTTACACGAAGTATTTATGTTTTCGTCTTTCAGTTACTGCGATCATCACTGAGTCTGTTCAGTGATCGCTGAGAACATGTAATGTAAATCCATCAGCGACAGTGATACTTCAAAAAGACAAAATTCACACCAAAGAACCTTCAGCGAAAGTCGAAGATTGAAACTGAAGATTAGAGACTGACGAGTACGTGATCTGAAGCGGTATTCAGTGATTACAACCTTGTCTACATACGAAGTGACTAGAACTATCTTTTGGCTTTGGTTCAGATCATACAGAACGAGTAGAAGTATGTACTGCGGGTGACTCAGCTCATATGGATTAACTGGAACTATCTCTTGGCTTGGGTTTGGTTGATTTCTTCCAACACCAGAATCACAAACATACAGTCTAAGGGCTTGTGGTGAAATTTCTATACTAATAGCTAGAAAATTCCTCATCACATCTTCGTTGTCAAATAACTCGACAACTGAAGTGGACAACATAAATTTGTACATTAATCTAACACCAAATTATGAATTTGGTAAGTTTAATTTTCTCGCTAAATAACTAATCAAAGCAGAATGTTTTACGTGTATCGACAACAACACGACAACTCTTTGAGTTTCTTGAATATAATCTAGTACCCTGTTATCTAACTGCCACAAATCTCCACTTAAAAACATGTACCCCAACTTTCTCAATTTTTGTTGATTTTTTGTGTAGTGTTGAAAAAAATCGGATTATACAAGATTATATAGGGAAAAACACAAATATCTATATATATATATATATATATATATATTAAAGGAGAAAACAAACATAATGAGGTCACATATTCTAATGCTTAGAACTTCTCCTATTTTTTTATCAATTTTTTGATTTTTTTAAATGTTGAATATGTTAAAGACTTTTCTGCCCCTGTATGAAAAATGTATAGCTCATAATTAATGCGGGTTTTTTGTAATTTTGTATACCAAAGTTTAACCTTCAACTCTTGATTTGCTCTTCCATTTACTTTCTTAATGAAAATTGGTTTTACAAAGTTTCAATAATAAACAAAATGAAATGCTATAATTCCTTTGGTGAGAGATGAAGAATGTAAGAGTTTAAGAACAATTCAAAGATTTTAAAAGGTATGTAGAAATTATATTCATTAAAAAGGTGATTTGTTATTACATATTTCTTTTTCAATATTGTTGGATTTGTTATTATCATAGGATATGGTTGTGTTTACGTTTGGATCATATAAATTCGAATAGAATTTTGATATTTTGTAATAACAAGATATGATATTTTTTTTTGAATTTTAACTTCATTAACAATAACTATTTATATGTGATTGATAATTACGTTAAATTTTGACTACTTCAAGATTTTTTTCAATTGACAGAAATCCTTTGGTGAGTAATGAAGAAATAAGAGTTGAAGAAAACTTAACAGATTCTAAAAAGGTATATAAAAATTTATATTATTTAGAAAATGTGATTTGTTATTACATATTTCTTTTTTTCAGTATTGTTGGATTTGTTGTTATCGTAGGACATGGTTATGTTTACGATTGGATCATATAGATTCGAATAAAGTTTTGATATTTTATGATTACAAGATATTATAAAAATGAATTTAAACTCCGTTGACAATAATTATTTATATGTGAATGATAATCATCAATATATGTGTGTATATATATATATATATATATATTATCTTATAAAGCATTTGGCTAAAACTCTTAAAACAACTATTTAAGCATATAGTACAACCTAGTAAAGCCAAATTACTTAAAGACAACCTCTATTGCTAATGGTACAACTTATTAAAACGATCCCAAAACCCGTTCAAATCAAAACTCTATCCTATTTCACCGCCAACAGAAACCCAATTTCTCAACCCAAACGATTTCATCGCCCAACAGATTTTGAAGAATACAGAGTTCTCCATTTAATCTCTATTTCAAACCATCATGGTGAGTTCTCCATTAATTTTTACTTCTCTACTGGTTCTTTCTCTACTCCCAATTTCCTCTCCAAGAAACCGATTCTTGCTCCCAAAGCGTTGATTCCTTCTCCAGGGCAACGATTTCTTCTCCAATTGTAGGAATTCACGCTCTTGAAACCACCAAGGTGAGTTCTCCATTAATCTCTACTTCTCTACTGTGTTCTTTTCCCACTGTGGATCAATCGCCCACTTGAATCGTTCCTCTTTTGGACAACTGATTAAAACCATTGTATTATTGTAATAGGTTTGAAACCTCTAAATCTATGGCTTTTGTTAGTTGATTTTTGGTTTTTTTTGCACAAATTTTCTTATGATTTTTGGTTTCTGCTTCCATTGATTCAATCCATTAGGGTTTTCTTCTCTTCCACTCTCGCTCAATCTTCTCCTTTCAAGTTGCTGATGATTTCTGGGTGAGTTTCATTTTTTTGTGAAGTTTTGGTTTTGATTTATTTTTTGACACTGGTGATGATAATCTTAAGGCTTGTTTCTCGCAGACATTCGCAATGGCCGCCTAAGAGCTTTCGCCTTAGCCAGGCTTGAGAGCTAAAATGTTGCTTTGCTCCTATCTTGGATGTCTGAAGTTTATTTAGAAATTTGTTTTTGATATTAGGTTCTTAGTGATGATTTCATAGACGATATATCCATTCTATTCATCATGAAGACGAATCAAGGCATTCAAGTAATCCTTCATCTTTGTATGCTGACATTCAGGTAAGCTACTATCTCCATTTTTATCTTCATTGAAGACATTCAGGTAAGCTTTCATTATAGATCACATTTCCCTATCCATTTCGGGTTTTTGGTTTTATTTGAATTTGGTTTCCCTATCCTTTCATTTATGGATTTCACATGTTTTGTTAATTCCTTTAGGGATCATTTATAGTGATTTGGAATAGTAGTATAATGTAATCTACTAATGTATATACATCATATAAAATAACTTGGTTTGTTCAAGATCTTCCAGCAAAATCTGCCCCAAACCCATGTCAGGGAGTCTGCTTCAAGGGTTTCAACCCTTTAAAAAACAGCCTACTTCCTGTCTCCTTTCAAACAAATCATCTCCGTCACCAGAGCAAGAACCATTACGGGCCTTTCATCACTCCATTACAGGTTTTGAAATGGTGGCTGACAAGGGTAAAAAACCCGAGATTGGAGAGAAAATCGTGGAGGACAATACTGAGCAAATCATGAGCTTGTTCTATCCATTGCAAAGTTGCCGGAGGTCCAAGATGAACTTGAAAAGGTACTTGTTGTTTTCTTGTGGCTTGTCAATTTTCATGTGGGTTTTCAAGAAAATCAAGTTTTGAAAAACATATGCAACATTCTTGCTAAATACTTATACATACATGGCAATTCGTCTTCAATTTTGTATGAGCATTTTCATAAATTTGACACTTTTGAACTTAATTTTGTGTTTTAGTTAATCAATTGACTCCACTATACTCCTGAGTTTTATATAATTGTGAGGATCCTTGATGTATAGGTTCCTGTTTTATTATGGATTTGCTTGCTACCTCATTGGGCCAGAGTTCCCGGTTTGTTTGTGAATTTAATATAATGGGTTTGCTTACTAAAAAAGGATCTCAATTTGGGGGTTATGTTAGATTATAGGGTCATATATTGTCCCCTGCTGTGCAAAACTGGAAGCACATATTATGTTATCATAGGTTGGCGAAACCGATGCTGAAGGAACAATAAAAGTTGCCATGAAACAATTTGCATTCAACCATATGCATTGGTTCTTGTTCGTTCAGCCATAGATTAAAGTGATTTGATTTCAAATAGTTGTTTATTTTTCAATTTTTATGCTCGGACCTGGAACATATGTAATTTTGTATGCTGTTGGATTATATACATTTTGAGATTTTGTTATTCCCAAAAGGATAAAATTTGAAGAAGAACGTAGAGTCTTCATAATTATCTTCAAGCGTTTTTGTTAAGAATAATATATAATTTGGRCATATATTGCTTCTTAATTATGCATCTTTTCAGTCTCATTTTTGCAATTTTTTGGTCTTTATTGGTAGTGCTTGTGGATTTAGATGATGTTATTTTCCCTAGCTATATTGTTTCTGTTTTTGCATGATAATCTTTTCTTAATAGGGGGTTCCAATTTGTTTTTGTTTTTGCATATTTTTGTTATATTTGTATAGCTAATTGGAGGCTTGAGTTGAACACTTGGGGTATGAGTTGGATGTAATTGCATGGATGGCAATGCCACAACTACGAATTGGAGCACGAAGATCAAAACTGCTTGGTGATCTTCATTCTGCCACTTAACCTGTTGATCAAGGGGACATTGCTACACCAACTCAAAACAGAACTAGAAGGAAAGCTGGTGGTGGAAAAGGTGATGATGAAGCTATAGCAAAGGAACTAAGGGGCCATTTACCAAATACTTACCCGGTAAGTGCTTACCACTAAATTTTAGCACTATTATTTACTTATCGGGTAAGATTTTAGTCTACCAAAAAGATATCGCATGCAACAATTTATCCGGTGATCGCTTACCGTGGTAAGAGTCATCGTTCTCACTTACCGGGTAAGACTCTTGGTTCTTGTCTCGCTCTGACCGGGTAAGATTCTTGGTAAACGCTTACGCGAGTAAGCGTTTGGTAAATTTTAGCACTATTATTTACTTATCGGCCCCTAATGCGGCAATACCGATGAGGCCAACTGCCATCTTAGAGGTTTGAGGTGCTAGGTTGATTTGGAAACAGAACCATCATGTGATAAAGATGTTGCCATGTAGAGGGGAAGTCCTGATGAAATAATGGAGTTGAAGAGAAAGGAAACGCAACTTCACTACCTGAGAGGGTATATTATTTCATTGAGATTCATTATTCCTTGATTGATTTTATTATTGGAAATTTTAACATCTGGTCATTATGAGTCTGGCATTTGCAAACAAGTAGACTTATTTAACATGTTTCCTTTGTATCATTCTTATTAGTGTTAATTTGTGTTCTTATAAAAGACAAAGTAAAATGTGTATTGTTTTGATGCAGGTACAAGTGGGTAATTCTCCTTCACATAAGCCAAAGAAACTCCAGTACTTGATAACTACTTGTTTGTTCTACCATTTTATCATTTGAGGTTCTACTTTTATAGGTAGCATTAAAGTTTTAGCACCATTTTTACCCAATGCTTATYTGATAAGCGCTTAGCAGTAAGTCAATATTTTCACTTAGGGGTCGTTTACCAAACACTTACTCGGTAAGCGTTTACTAGGTAAATTTTAACACTATCATTTACTTATTTGGTAAGATTTTAGTCAATCAAAAATGTATCGTATGCAACAATTTACTCGGTATATACTTACCGTAGTAAGAGTCATCGCTTTCACTTACCAGGTAAGAGTCTTGGTCTTTGTCTCGCTCTTACCGGGTAAGATTCCTGGTCCTTATCATATTCATCTGGTAAAGTAATTTAACTTGTTCACTTATCCGAGTAAGTGTTTGGTAAACGGCCCATTAGCTTACCGTTAAGAATTAGTCTACTAAAACAACATTGGATCGAGTCTATTAAAATAATTTTGGCCTTTTCAAACGACGGGTTATTTTATAAAAATATGGTTATGGTTAATGGAGCAATGAGAATTTTTATCAGGTGATCAAACAACCTTGTCTTAAACTAAGGATATGTATGGTTTGGAAATCATTTGCGATATAAGGTGCACGTGTCTAGGTTTTGATGGACGATTTTGTAGCGAGAAAAGTTTGTTGTCTTAGCAAAAAGATATTAGTATAGAATAGCCGATGCCATCAAATCTTCTGTGATGATAAGTTTCTCAATTTAATTTGATTGGTCTATGCATCTCATTGTGTTCACTTTGAAAAAAGATATACTCGAATTTTATCTGTTTGGTTGCGTTTTGTTTCTATTGGTCTGCTGCAAAAAAACATCGTTGTGCTATTAGATTAGCAACCGTGTTGGTTGGTAGACAAAATATATATTAGCATCAATGTACACATATTTTTTTTATTGATTTTAGAATTGTTTGTTTGTGTCATACATCACCAGGTTGAAGGGATTGAAGAGATCTTGAAACCTTCACGGTCTGAAAGTGATGGATCATCAATTGAATTACCTGCAAAAGGTGAAGAAAACAAAAGCAGAAACTGTGCCAGCAACAACAAGCAAGACGACTGGTCGTGGAGTAAGGAGGCAATTGGCGAGGTTAATGAATTGAAAACACTGATAGTTTCCAGCACCAGAAAGAAGGCCTCGACTACTTCTTGCTGCAATGTGGGGAGTCAATTGAATGAGTGTGAAGAAATTGCAAAAAACGACTGTTTGGTGGAACATAAGACGAAGTGCATACCAAATATACTGTAGCAGTTGCAATATATAGCCGAAGGAAAGGGACTACAACATGAAATCAAGACATTGTTAAAAAGAAGACTACTGTTCAGAAAGTGTACATCACAAGAAGATTGTTGGACCGATCTAGGGAACCGCCCACGTGATATTGTCCGCTTTGGGTTTGACCAACCCCTCACGGCTTTAAAACGCGTCACTGGTAGAAGTAAGACTCTCACTTCCTTATAAGAAATTCGAATCCCCCTAGCCTCACCGATGTGGGATGCTTCTGCATTGCTACAGGAGCGTTGGGTTTAAGAATCGCGGATTTGACCGGCTCGAGGGAACGA